AATGATTTTTTCTTGAAATTTTTTTTTAAATTTTTGTCGATCATCGGTTTAATATTGATTTGTGAATTAAAGTTTAGTTCATGTTATTTTAAAGCACGTGCCTATTTTATACTATATTTTTATAATATAATTTTCCTTAAAAGTACAAAAATACAGTCTAAATATGCAAATACATAAAGTAATTATTAATATAGTATTAATTTATATAAAATTAATATTATATAAATATTAAGTTACATAAAGTTGAATTAATTCATAATTCCATTTAAGAAAATTTTTCATTTAAACAACACAAAAAATTCCAGTAATATTGCAACAACAATACCTTGCAATATTCTCACATATACAATAATGCAGTAACATTACAATACTATAGCAATGTTGCATATTCTGTATTGTATGGGCTGTAAAACGCTGGAAAGATCAATAATTAGTATGTGATCGTAAAATTTACCTTGTCAATCTGTTCGTTAGAATAAACATTCGCAAGAATAAGTTCTATCGTTGCAGTTGTAGTAAATGATCTATATAAAGACAAAATAATGTATAGAATTAATAAATTTTTAGAATTATATGAAAAAAAATAATACAGTATAATTTACGAAGAGAAATATTAATACCTAGGTTTTATAATCTCCAAATTTTTTAATACATAGTCACGGATTTTGTCGTTGCTCGCATACTTCTCAAGAATTTTCTTAAAAACAAAAGAATGCTCATCATCGTGAAATAATGAAGTATTCAATGATATAATATTTAAGTAATTGATAATGATATCAGGATCTTCAGCGCAACTCAAACTTTTTAATATTTGTTTTTTAAATTTTTTGTCTTTTAGATATAATTCCAACATTTTATCCCAAGTAGTCCTATTGGCTGCCATCATACCAATACAGTACATAAATTTCTCCTCATATGAAATTCTAAAAAATATATCTACAATCAAAAACTGATACATATATTTCATCCATATAACGAATATTTATTTTACTAATTTTAAATTTTATATTTTTACATATACGTATTATTAAGCAACTTTATTTTGTAAAATGAAATTCCTGTTCTGCGCTATTCTTCCAATCTTATAAGCAACAATATATTTATTACATCGTCACATTAGAATAAGAATTCAAGAGAATCAGTTACAATAACTGCTTTTCATTTAGACTGATACAAATCATTCTTACTTATGACGTCATAACCCAGTTGAATGCGCATTTCTTTTGCATTCTGGTAAGTGAAATTCAACTGAGTTTTTATCTATAATCTGCATACAAAATCGAGACCATGTGCTTTAGTAAGACTCCTAACAGCACAAAAGTTACAATATTGCTGCAATATTGTAGCAACATTACACGTTGCAGCAATGTTGCAGTAATATTGCTGCAAGTTTTGTGTTGTTGGAATCATGTAAACTCACTTTAAAAATGAGGTTTTAAACCTGTGATACGTAAGTTTTATCAAAATATAAAACAAATAATGATGTCATTAATCTATGTACGAAATATTTAGCTCAGGTTCAGTTTCACTTGTGTGTAAATGGAAAGCAACTAATATATCCATATAAATGCACATACGCACGCGCGCATCCCCCCCCCCC